AATACGCTTTCGAAGGAGGTTTCCATAATAAGCATGTTTAATTCGACAGACTTTTATTAAGGATGAAACAGTTTCTATAATATAAGAGAAGGTTCGGGACTAATTTAGTCTCGAGGTCCTCAAAAGATTATGCTGAGTCAAGGTTACTTAAGAATCAATAAGTTTCGCAGTCACTTCTGTGCTACCAAATATCATTAAGGTCAATAATACCTCCCCCATCAAAGACTCTGTAATTATACCGAGCGTCTGTTGCATTTTATTGTGTAGATACCTGTATAACAACAGCCTCGTACACCTGTCACCTGATCAGTTCCAAGGCCTGTCCAAACTGGAAGAACTGTAAGTAAATATTCGATGGAAATCATATCTGACTACACATGTAACTATTCTTGACCAAATATGTACTTAACCAACTCAGTAGGGCGAATAGACCTTTCTTTCCTCCTCCCACCACTTTTGCCCAAAGTTTCGCTAAATTTTGAAGCTAGTGTACTTTGATTGGATGAACCTCAGAAACCCAAGCAGAATTCTGAAAAAGATTCTTTGTCATCCATCCAAGATATTAACTGTCACCTCGGATTTCTTCAGAAAAAGACAGAAAAAGAAGAGAATTAGAGATGTAGCAATTCTCTCCCTCACCCCCGAAAAAAATTAACAGATCAGTGAAACAATACTTTTTATAGAAGTCCAAATATAAGCATGCGCTAAGTTTTGACATTTTCAGCGAGGTAACCGCAAACTGCATATCGGTGTAACTTTTACGCATCCCTGGCTGTGAGTTGTTTTTTTTTCACCTTTTTATTATGTTTTCAATATCGGAAAGCTTTGAAGATATCGTAAGCAGAGGGCATTTAAGAATCAATGAAGATAAGAAGGAAGTTTATGTAAATACGTGCTTACCTCTAAATTTTTCTACATTTCTGATAATGATGATGTGCCCTCTATGTTGTTCTAGGGCTGTTTACGAAAACAATATTGACTACCTGCCACATGAAGTTTTTAAGGGCATGAAAAACATGATGTCTATGTAAGTATCTGTCTCTAAAGTATCCTCTTATTAACGGTAACGAGGTATTGTAAAATTAGTAAGGGTCTCGTGAA